GAAAGCAAATCTTAAAGTATGCTCTGACTGTTGTCATTATAATATCCAATTCTAAATTATTTGTAATTTACTCAAAATCCTCCACATATGTACATGTGAAGGGAAACCTGAATCTGATCTGTTGGGCTGGCCAAAGAAAAATATCGTCATACCTTTAGAAATAAACATTGTTAAATCATTTCCTTGCCCCAGAAGCTCAAATTAATCCAGGGCCGAGGATCTCTTCACAATTCCTCAAACTGTTACTCTTGTCACTGCTTTTTCTCAGCTAAGCATCTTCTGATTTAACAGTTTCTTTTTTGGCTTTTTTGCTCCTATGTCTCTTGATTATTGTTTTTTAATTTTTTTTTATTGTTAAAATATTATCCATTTGACACTATCAGTTTCCCCATCCCTTACATGTTTTATGACAGAGTCTGGGAATGTCAGTGAAGTGGGACGCTGTAGCAGAATGTGCTGGGTTCTGAAGTACAAAACAAGAAATATTTCTTTCTGGCCCTTCTAATTGTTACTGTTCAGCAAAGACAGAAAATTTACTAGCCAGGATTGGCAGCTGTATGAAGGTATTCACAACCTGACTTTATCTCTGTGAGGTATTTAAGGCGAAAAGTCTAGAATAGGTCCTGTAAATGTATATATGAAAAACTTCTGAAATTTGCAGAATAGTATGAAGAGATATGAAAATTTCTGAAAAACCGAATCTTGCTGTCGTTGAGCAGAGTTGGAAACTGATTTCTCATGTTGTAATTTGTCAAGGGGGCTGCAAATGAAGATGAGCAGCCTCTGTTCTGGCAGAGCAGAGGAAACTGGTGGAAGGATCGGAGAGGCAGAGGGAGTTACCAGTGAGGAGCTTTAAAGGAGGATTCTGATTGGATTTGAGTAAAGCAAGATGAAGTTTGTCATGACTAATGGAAGGATACAGCAGTGAGGAAAGCCTGGGTAAGGCTGTTTATAGTTTACACGCGCAGTTACCATTTTATGCAAAAAGACTACTTTATCTGAACACAATCTGAATGTTTGCAACTTGCAGAGGTTACAGGAGGAAGCTGGCGTTGCCCTCACTGACCAGGAGGTCGACTGACGAAGAAAAACCCGGGTCTGCTGGATTTGCACGAGCAGCTGCCGAAGAGAGAGGCAGATGCTTTTACATGAGAGGTCATAAGGTTGCCCGCAGCAAAATGAGGGTTGAAGTCAAGTACATCCACAATTGTAGAATTAAGATAGGAAGACAGGGAGGGATGAGCAGAATGTTGGTGATAATTCTGTTGGCAAATGCTGGCAAAAACTGCCTCTCTACCCCCAAGCTGGCAGAGTGTGTACAGAAATGTGTGCTGGGGGAGCCTGGGGGGTAGGAAGGGGGCTGCAGGGCATCTGGAGAGGGGATTGTGTGTCAGGATGTAATTAGGGGAGCGTGCAGGCACGTGTAAATATCTGTAACAAATAAAAGGAGACTTAGAGGGAGGGAGTGTTGTACTTCAGTGTCACTTCAGGTGTCACACAACAATGTTGATTTTGTTTTCAAAGAAATAAGATCCTATGGTGAATCCCCATCCTTTGGCTCCCTCCCCACCTTGCAGTTGCCAGTATGTAACCATGTATTTTCCTCTCCTGTTACTGCCCTTATCTCTTCCTGCTGTTGTGTCAGGTCCTTTGGGGAGGAAGAATGCACCTCCACCATTGATAACTTTGTTTTTTCTTTTTTTTTTTCTCTCTTCCCTTCCCACCTTTCTTTTTTCGACCATGATTATAACCTCTAATGTTGTTTCTTTTGCCTTCCTGTTGGCAGCTTTTCTTTTTTTAAGAAAATAAATTTATTATGATGTTGCAAACATCATCATGCTTGCAGTTCTCGGTAGGAAGGCCTTTAGACTGAATGTTTTCATACGTGTTATGTAAAACTTGTAGATTATGAGATGGGGGCTTGAGTTAACATTGTTGGATGGAAAAAGAATGTGATTTTGTGCCATGCCTGGCTCCTCCCCCTCATCTTTCCACATCTAGCACAGAATCGGGAGAGATGGTCAGGACTTCTTATTGCTGTTGCTTGTGACAGTTTCTTACAGCAATGAAGATTTCACGATTAACAGTCCTAACACAAACCTTCCAATCTGTTCCCTGAAGTTCTTATGAATGGAGAAAATAGCCTTTATAGCATCATAGAAAGTGAGTATGGATTGAACTTTTGGCACCTGGGTTAATGATCAACTGGTTTGACTGAATATTGAGAAAATAAGGAGGTGACGTAACTTGACAGAAACTAGAAAGGACCTTGAATCATGCAGTGCTTGGCCTGTATTTGTGTCTGATTTTCAGGTGGTTTCTGTCCTGATCCCTCTGCATTCCCAACTTCTTCAGATCTACCTGACTGTGGTCAGCTGTTGGGGAATAGAAGAAGAACAGAATGAGTATTTATTGACACCAGAATCTGATATACGTTCCTGGCTGCCTGTTCCTGGGTATCGCAGAATTGGAGAAGGTTTGGAAGTTGTTGACAGGGAGCAGCCAGGCAGACTAGGATTCTTCAGCATGGAAGATGCAGCTGAGGGGTTGTGTTAGAAGTGCACTGTGGAAAAAAAGGAATATGAAATAGATGTTTGGTCTGTTCCAGTATGAAAACTAGTTACGTCAAAGGAAGGTAGCAGGTCCAGAACAAACCAAAGCTGATGGGTTTTCTTGTGAGGTGCCACTAAACTGTAGAATTTCTTGCCGCAAGCAGTTGTGCATACTAGTTCAGAAAACGAATGGAAAAGAAAGCCGTTAAGAAATCTTAAACTGAAAGGCTCCGACTCAAGGAATCCCTGAGCCACAAGCTGTGTCTTGAGGGGTGACTAGAATGTGGCAGAGTTTGTTGGAAAAGTACTGGTACGTACTCCCTAAATGTCTACTGCTGCCCATTGTCCGCCACGGCACGTTGCGCTAAAGGAGCTTTGATCAGATCCAGTATTGCTGTCTTGATTCCTCAGTAAAGATTTTGAGGTGTAGCAGATGTATAAAATCCAGTTAGTAATTTCCACATATTTATGAAGACTGCGTACAAAGCTGGTGAAGTAGCCACAGGTTAGGGCATCAGCAATTCATCCAGCTAAGATTTGTGCTTTTATAACCTTAAGTTGTTTGAGCATTCTTATACCTAGAGCTGGTTGTTATTTGATTACACGTGTTCACCAGCCTGTGATGGGAGTAGTTACCACATTAGAAAACATTTTATTGAGCTGACAGCTGTGTGCTGCTGTTTTACACAGACTTTCACAGAAATTGAGAGAGAAAAATCAAAGATTTTCTTTTTGCTGTAGCTTGGGATACATTTGAGTGTTCAGGTGCTGTAGCTTGCACGTATCACAGTGTATATTAGCTAAAACTGCTTACGTTGTGACAGTGTTTCTTGATTAAATGGAAGGCATATGACTCAGACCTATTAGACCATCACACAGTTGGTAAAGATGTACTCTGATGAATGCAAGATGAAGGATGAAGCATAATAAATGTTAATGGTGAAGAATTCTGATAGAACTTATCACTTGGATATGAATTACAAGTACTATCGTATATATAGCTACTATAAAGTGTACAACTAGGGATCTGTAGTATTGCTTTGAAGGAGAAAACGTAGGTTTTTTTTTTAATTTGTTTTTTCCTATCTGAAAATTAGGCTTAAAAGGTAAATCTAAACAGGTCTCATGAGTCTGATACTCCAATATGTAAAGTTTGCTTTGTTTGACACGGAGGTGGGAGGAAAGATAAAATATGTCGGATAAACTTTAAGGTCTGTTTGTATAGTTTGCTGTGTCTGATCCTTTCCTGAGCTGATTTTTGTCTGTTGACTGTTAATGGAAAATGCAATTCAAAAGTCTGACTTCCCATGTGATGTTTGTGAGAGGCTGCAGATTGATGCGCTTTGAAATGAAGCCATCTAGGCAGGGATCAACAGGTACTGTATTTGAAGGTCTGATATGTCTGCTAGGCTCCGGACCAGAGGTTGAGAATTTGCTACAAGTCTGATGGAATTCTGTATTTAATACAGAGGCTCCAAGGATCACGTGTTTTAAGCTATTGGAAGGAAATACCTTGTGTATAAAGATATCTGTGTGTGTGTATATATATATATATATATCTCCTGGTCTTGATGTCTGAGCCATAATTTCCTTGCTCAAAGTGAGAAGCGGGTGCAGTGGTTAATCAATGTCTTCTGACACGGTGCACAGCTTCACAGATGCTTGGACTTGTCTGTTATTTTTCAATATTTAAAATCTTCCCCAAATCCATATGCCTTTCAGGGCTCGCTCTTTATGTGCAGCTGAAGAATGCAGTAGTGCCGAAGCAGTCATTGACTGTCAGCTCAGCGGGGTTGTTTTAAGGCTTCGTAGTATAGTCAGCTTCTGGTATCCTGTAGGGGATAAACTCTGCTGTCAATTGACACAGTGTTGTGTTTTTTTCTTTGTGACTGCCTTTTTTTACCAACTGCTTGTGTAAAGCTGCTGTTAAATGGTAATGGTATTTTAGGGCCTGACTAATAAACACGCTGTGGTTTAATGAACTGTAGGTGGCATTGCGTAAGGCGGCCCTAAAACTGTACGAATCTGAAAGTAAGAAACAATTCATAGAATCCAAAAAATTCTGTAGAAGAAATGAAACTGAGCTTCCTGTTGTGCTAAAGAAATTTACTGTAAATAAAGATTCTGTCTATAGACTATTATAAGCTCTTTAAGATTTATTTAAAGTGACCTACTTTTCTTTTAAAATCCTCCTAATTCATCTGGTGACTGGTAAAATGATGTATTCCAACACTATAATCCTCAAATCTTGATGTAGACAACGCTGACAGGTCTCATTTTGAGCCCATTTAAGACCGGTTAACGTGTTTCAGGCTCGAGTAACCTATTAAATAAATACATCAGGAAAAGGCTTTTACTGGTAATGGTTGTTTTGCTTAGGTGGCTATGGCTGTAATGTATTGTGAGTACATCTGGTACTTCAGTGCTTATCAGTGATCTTTTTTCCTTTAGGCGGTTTCCTAGAAACATGATTGCTTGCTGGTCTTGATCTCACAGCTTTGTGAAGACTTCTTTGATAATGTCAAGTTCAGGCTACCCTCCTAACCAAGGGGCGTTCAGCACGGAACAGAGCCGCTACCCCGCTCACTCTGTCCAGTACACCTTCCCCAGCACGCGACACCAGCAGGTAAGGACGCGCAAGGGTTACAAATTGAGCGACAGTAAAATTTGGGCGTTTGCTGTGCCAGATGATATAGGGGGGTTGGGGATTTTTTTTTTTGTTTGGGTTTTTTTTAAAACCGATATGATACAAGTTGTTCACATCTGAAAACAGTGACGTTGCCCTGCTGACGAGAACTGCTGCCACCGTTGCTTAAGTAGATAGCTGTGGGGTGGTTTGGTTTGCACTCTTTATTTTTTTCCCTTTTTTTTCCCTTTTCTTTTCTGAAAGCCTCTATATCTGTTTTGTTACTTGTTTTTTGACAGAAAACTTAGTTTTATAATTCTACATCTTTATCGTGTGGAATTAATATAAACTTCCTGGTTTTATCATTGGTTTCTTGTTATTTGTGTTCATAAATTTTTGTTGTAGTTTTGCTTTAATTTGTTAGTGTTTAATCGTCATACTAAGTTTGTCAAATGTAGATGTGGCTGAGTCCGTGTGCATTGATAGAAAAAAAATTTCAAAGAATGTGCAAATAATCTGCAGTTATTGTACATTTGACTGCAGTAATCTTGGTCTAACAAATCCTTTGAGAGACTGAGCTCTTGGAGCATTTGTGAGTACTCAGTTTTTCTGGGGAATTGATCTCCTATTAGGCCCAGGACCATAAGAAGTGAACCCATGGCCATCTTTTCTTCTAGCAATATTGGGCTGGATTCTCTGTGAGCTAGACGAGGTGCTTGACAAAATCTGTGTGCAAGGTGGGGAATCGGAAGTGCAAAAACTTGCATTGCACTCTGAATATTTTCCTGAAGCAGCTGAGCTAGTGCCTCCAGCTGTGTTCTGCGAGCTGGAATCAAGGCAGTGGATTTCTAAGAATCTCCTACTTGGTCACTTCTGCCAAGCATTTATTCTGCCATCCTGTGCTCTCTGTGGTGTGGCAGCCTGTGGAGGACTAGCTGCTGGCTTAAAAACAGCTCAGATTTCCCTCATTTTAATGAAAGTCTCCTACTGCTACAGATACTTCAGATGTTTTGTTCTACTTACACGTTTGCGAAAGCAAATTCAAGAATTGGAGCTTTTTGGCTTGCTCCATGTTTATTTTTAGATAATTTGTAAAAGCTAAGTTTTACAGGGAATGACCTGTGGCATGTCCTGTAGAGCTTCTTTGGCTGGTTAATGCCAACTGTATGTAATTTTTAAAAGCAAGTGGTTGAAGACCCATTTATATGAATAAACTGTCTTGTACCTCACTTTGGTTATTACTTGTATCAGTCAGAAGATGCTCTCTTGTCTAACTCTTAGTCCTAACTGATAGTGTCTGATATAAAAATGTCTTGAGGTGGTAGCAGAAGGAATTGCTGTGGGATTGTTGAAAGGTATTCTCATTTTACCACTTCATAGTTGGATGTGAAATCAGACTTTAAAGGGTATTTTTTAAACGATATTCCTCTGCTGACTCATTTGCATTTTGTTAGAAGTTGTTACTAAGTTAGGTGGAATTCTTGGCATAAGTATGAATACTTAAATACCTGTATTCATTTATATATATTATATATATAAAAAAATAAAACCTCTTTAAGTTCATTTAAAACTTAGAACTGCTGTTTGCAAACTTTATTTTTTTTGAGCTAGAATAAGGCTTCGGTGATTTGGACTTGGTGTGTATTTAATACCTTTGGAAAAGATCATTCCATGACACCAAATGCTTTTGATCCTGTCTTCTGTACCCTTGTTCTTGGTAACGACAGAAATGTGTTTCATTTAGGAATTTGCAGTTCCCGATTATCGCTCGTCTCACCTGGAAGTCAGTCAGGCAACCCAGCTCTTGCAGCAGCAGCAGCAACAGCAGCAACAACTTCGGCGCAGGCCTTCCTTGCTTTCTGAATTTCACCCGGGCTCTGACAGGTCAGGATCTTGTTTTTGATGTACGTGAACGTCAATCTTCAATGAGTCTGTGCTTTCTGTAAAGTTAGTTTTAACCTTTGAATGGAGAAGTTTTTCGGTTTCACAGTTACTAAGTACATCATTAGTCGGTGCTTTGCGGTTATAACAGCGTCGATCTGCCTTGTGTTGTAGCTGTTGTGTAGTTCCTTGGTCTCTTTGGCTTACTGAATATATCTTCTGAGAATCTAAGTGCATACTGCAAACTTTTTGATGCTGTTTGGGCTAAACGTGTGTAAAGTTTGTACCTTTGGATCCTTTAATCTTGCTGAGTAGAAGCAACAAGGGCAAGAGTTGTTAGAGCGTGAGTATTACCTGCCTAGATTAGGTTGGCTTATTGAAGAGCTGATAGCTCTGTGGCTACGCAAGTCAGAAACACCAGAGCTCATTGGAGATTTGAGTTGTAAGAACTGTAAACCACTGAAGTGCAGCACGAAATGGACTTCTGGGTGAACTGGAGAGTATGCTGCTTTTGGCAAGGCACTCGACGGCTTCGTATCGCTTGTTCTAGTACCGCTTTTGTCAGTCCCCTGCACCGTTCTTGTCTCTGTGTAAGAAGATGCAACTAATCTGGGTCATCTAAGTTGACTGAGGACAAGTACAGCGGACAAGTGCCGTGAATCATATGTTGTAATTAGGTTTCAGATTGGTAATATCTTACTTCTTGGTAAAATGGGTTACTTCACAGTGGATATTGATGACTGTTCAAACATACATTAGTGTTACTGTAAGTCTATGGGTTCAAGAAAGTTTTCAGATCGCATTACACATTCGTTTGGCTATATGCCTGAAGAATGTTGGATGTAGTCTGAAAACCAAAATCAGACATTAAAAACCTGCTACTGAGCAGAGCAAGATTAACTGGATTGCAGTAAATTAGCAAGAATATGCTTCTGTTTAGGGGAGAGATTACTGCCTGGTTTATGCACCTCAATTCTTCAGTGCATTAGCATGTTGATGTACAATTATAAGCAGGTGTTATTGCCTGTAACCACCTCTTATTTTCTTGGACTCTTAGTAAATATATCTGCTAGGAGCAACTTTGTATGCTGGATTACTGCTCGCAGTTTATTTTGGCTGTAACTGAGGTATCCGGTTCTGAACAAATACCAGTGATGAATGTTATGTAAATACTGGTCTAGCTTAAAATCTCATTAGAATATTCCCAGAATTAACTTGATGATAGTGAAATCTGAAGCTTGCATGTTGCCTTCTTCATGTGTCACGAAAATGTCAGTAACTCTGTCTTAGTGCTGAGAATCATAGTAGCTTTCAGAGTTCTCAGAACTTCAGTTTGTAGCAGAAGTAAATCTCCACACCACCCCTCCCATTGTAAATTTGTAACAGCTTATTCGGTAGTTCTGGCAAAATACGGGAAACTACTGTCATCTCTTCAGTGGCACTTCATAGGAAGATGTCTAAGCAGATGAGTTTCTCTTATGGACACCCTGTGCACTGCACTGTAAAGGAGCTTTTTTTTTTCTGAGAAGGAAGAGTTTTTAAATGACTCAGGGATTGAATCAATGACTGCTTCTGTCATACAGTAGCATTTTAGTAGAGATCAAGTTCCAGGTAGACTCATAGTTCATTTTGAGCATTCTGTGTATATTTAAAAATTATTTAACTCCAAAAATGAAATAAGGAGCTGTTGTAGCCATCTGTGTCCAGTGTAATACAGTACTAGATCTCATGGGTTTTTTTGTTTCTTCGTAATTTCAGTTGGAGCTTTGATTTGAACAATATCATTTTAGCACTGGCAAGTTTATGGGTTCGTAGTGATAGGCGTGTGTTTAAACAGTGTCTTTTAAGTTCAGGGTAACTCTCTTTTTCAGTGGATTTTTACTGTTGCATTTTTGAAGATCATACTTACAAACTTCTGTCTACCTTACTGTTTAGAAGGAACTTCTCTAAATTGCATATCCTGCATATTTGAAAAGGTTTGAGGAACACCAAATAGTTTTCTTGTATGGAAAATGCATATTTTACTAGTTTTTCTCTTTTGTATGTTAGGCCTCAGGAAAGGAGAACTGGATATGAACAGCAATTTCATCCAGGTCCGTCTCAGACAGATCATGATTCACTGGAATCTAAGCGACCACGTCTTGAACAAGTCTCTGATTCCCATTTTCAGCGTGTTAGTGCAGCTGCTGTCTTGCCTTTAGTACATCCTCTGCAGGAAGGGTTGAGATCTGCAGATATTAAGAAGGTAAAGCCATTTGCTGTTTTACTGCTGAAGGTTTTAACTTCCTATGATGCAGTGAGCTAATAAACTGTATTTCTATTAGTTTTTTTATTTGCTTGCTTACATTAATTCTTTCATCCCAGAAATTCAGTTTTACACATTATCACAAACTGTGGTCATGAGTCAGTGTACTCTTTCATAAAAAGAACAAGAAGAAAACGTCTGGCTGGGGCACAGTAGAGAAACTGAAGTTTCGAGTTGCCACGATGCTCTTAAGTCATTAAAACCTCAGCTGCAAAATGATTATATAGTTCAGTTTGTGAAATATTTTTGCTTTTCAATTGAAAGCTGCTGGCAAGTGCATGCAAGCCTATTTTTTCCTGTAATTAATATTTGTACTGAATGGTCAAAGTACTCCCTTCCATTTCAGCATTTGAAATGAATCTGCTTGTTTACATAACACTAATTATACTTGTCACTGTCTCATTTTGGGTAAATCTAGGACAATCTAGTTTGGTGTGGATATTTTCTATTGTAGATACTGGCTGTTGATTACAACAATTTGTGTGGAGCAGACAAATGTCTCATCAATGGATATTTAATATCTTCTCTCATGCACACGGCCTCACCCGCTTGAATGCGGGCTGTGTTAGTGAATTAGTGTTTGCCAGGTAAATAGTCACAGAGCGTGATGGTCTGAGGACGTAAGCAAAGCAAAGACAAGGTACAACAGTGCTGCTGTTGGAACGTGAAGCATCTTGAAAACACGTTGTTTGGAAATGGACAAAAAAAAAAAAAACAGGCCAAAAACATCGAAGCCAAATGAATAGTGACATGTCCTCTTCTAATTAGTCGCTTCTCTTAACTCATGTTAAGCTCAACAGAACTTCACATTTATATCCAGAGCTAACTCCAGATGTGTTTTATTAGGCTGCTCATGGTTATCCTCAAGAACAGCCTCATCAGTATTTTTGCAGAGTATTGAGGATTATCTCTCGAGTAATTCTTCCTTTAAAGATAAAAGATACAGCTTCATAAATGCAAACAGTATTTTTAAAAGGGAGATGTTTTGATCTTATTTTGGTTTCAAGGTAAATATGGAAGTGTGTTGTTACTTTTAAAGATGGACTTCGAAATTACCATATCGTAAATTGACTGTCAGTTAATTCTAGAATATTTAGAGCATTAGTAAGCTGAAATATTCAACTTTTAAATTCATGCATGCTAGTTTGTTTAGAGAACACTCATTCCTCTAATTTCTCTCAATCTCCCTCCGCCACCTCCTGTCCCCGTGAAAGGACCCGGCTTTTGGAGGAAAGCATGAGGGACCATCTTCTCCAATTTCTGGTCAGCCTTGTGGGGAGGACCAAAATGCTTCACCTTCAAAGCTGTCAAAGGAAGAATTGATACAGAGCATGGACCGTGTAGATCGTGAAATTGCGAAAGTTGAACAGCAAATCCTTAAACTGAAGAAAAAGCAAGTAAGCGTAGCAGACACTACTCTTGCTATCTGGCAGGGAAAAAGGTGTGGAAAGACTTCATTGGGTGGTGGTGGTGAAATTTTTCGATTACATGAACCAAATGAACAAGTGAAAAAGGGAAGGTTGTGTTACAGCATTGTTACAACATTTAACTAGATTGGACTTCACGTAGTTTTAAACAGTCACGAAAATGGGAGAAAGCCACGTAAGAACACCAACAGTAGGCGGCTTTATATATTAAACTTTTGACGGAAGGCTTAGTGAAACACTGTGAGTGTAACTCCAGCTTTAAAGATGACTGCTGAGAGAGGGGCAAGATGTCATCTTCTTTCATGGCTGTGTAAGGGGAGAATCCCTTGCAGGGGTGGCAGTAAACAGAGAGAGCAGAGAAATAAAGGAGGAAATGGCACATTTTTTTTAGTATGGACCTGGCTATGCTTTGCATCAGAGACACTGGAGGCAAAGGAAATGTGTCCTGGCAGTAGCTGTTGTCTTGCCAATAGCGGTTGTGGGCAACAAAACCCACCCTTCAGTCTAGGCATCTGTTGTTATATGGCGAAAATGAAATCCTTGTCTCCTTTTCCTTTTATGACTCTCAAAGATCCAGGCAGAAGTAGTGTGAGCTTTACAGTTTGTTGGGTTTTTTTAGTGGGAACTGTAGGAAATAAGCATCAACACTAGGGTTTGTTAACTTTTTAGGTTCAGGATAGCAATTAGACAACTCTTGGCAATGGTATGTTTTTTATGGTCTAGAAGAATTTAATTACGTCCGAATTGTAATGACCTGTGAAGTGGCGTTCAGCAGAAAACCAAAAAAGGGTGTCACTAAGTACCTGGCTCTGTGCTAATGATGCTTATCTTTTTGTTTGTTCACTTTTCCACAAAATCAGCAAGTACTATGTGTATCATCTATGAAGGTTCATTTGTGCATATTTATGCTATAATTTGACTTAAAGAAAATTACACAGTTGCTGTTGCCTGCAATTATTGAACCTCTTTATTATGGCATTCTGCAGAAGTTTTAGATTTTGAATTCTTGTGCAGCACTGTAGCACATTTTACCAGGGCTGTGAGACAGGATGGGTGCCTAGCATTAGAAGTTGCTTGTTACATGTTTTTGGCCAGCATGGATGAGGGATATTTACAATTAAAAAATGAAAATGTCACTGGGCCAGACTTAACTGATGTGAAAGTAAACCACAGCAGTGTACCAGCTAGGAAAACACTACTTTTTTGCTGATGGTATTTTTTGTTTGTTTGATGTTGTGACAATCTTGGAACGCCAGTGCAGGGGGAGTGGTTTGTTTCTACTGGGAAGTATGGTTAGAGTGACGGCCTCTGCGGAGTCACAGAAGGAGTTTTGTACCTTTTTAAACAATTAGACAATAGTAATAATCTAAAACGTAGGAAGACAGCTCTGTGCGTTACTTCCCTCTGTGAGAGGCAGGTTTGCTGTAACTGTTCTCCAAAGTTAGTATTTCTGTTTCAAGTTAAATAGAGATAAATTACAATGTGACAGTGTCTTTAAATGTCAGGCTCAAACAAGTCTGATTCGGCATGAATGAGTTGTAAACAGTGAGTTCAATTCACCAATAGCACAAAAAGCAGTCTTGTTATTGTCCCTCTAGACATTAAAACTATTTCATTCGTTCCCTGTCAGTTAAAAAGAGAAATAAGTGGCAGTGCTAACTGTTGATCAGATGCATATTTTATCTCTGGTGACTAATTACTGCTCAGGGTAACATGGTGCGGATGGCTGATTTTCTTTCTTTCGTCTCTTAGCAACAACTTGAAGAAGAAGCTGCTAAGCCTCCAGAGCCGGAGAGGCCTGTCTCCCCTCCTCCCGTGGAACAGAAACACCGCAGTATTGTCCAAATTATTTACGATGAAAATCGGGTAAGCGTGCTTTTCAGTTGACTGAATGTAGCTGTGAATCTGACCTGATGTGCTAAAATTAGTTGTGCCTTAATTTATTTCCACAGGGCAATTTTTCTTCTCCTGTTTTATTGGTTTGCCCATCCCTCTCTTAATATTCTTTCATTTCTTCAAATGAAAGACATTGCATGACATTTTTATTCTTGATCACAGGATCTTTCTTCTGTCTTGTAAGCAGTCTAGGGAGAGATATTTATGGTCTCATCCCTGACCGTCGTGTTGAGATAGATATAAATACACACATATCTATGGATGTTTGTATGTGTGTAGATAAATTTCCGAAGCGTTTTTTTATATTCATCTACTTTGAATTTTCTTTTCCTCACATAAATACTGATAAGCTTGGCTGAAAACTGAAAACCCAACATTTAAATTAGCTGAAAAGGAACAGCTGTATATGTTGTAAGATTCTACGTCTTCTTTTTAACCTCTGACTTCTGGTGCTTAAGATTTGGGTAAATGAATACATAGGAAGCAGCAGTGTGTAGGTGAATTGTGAGCCTGTGTTGCATAAGTGGTGAGAAAAGTCCAGGAGCTCGGTAATACTGCCAACAGTAGCAAAGTGCTTCCTGCCTCTTTTTTCCCTGGTAGTTTGAGATTAGGGAGTTGGATATCTGCTGGCTTTGAAAGTATTATGATCTTTTGTGAGAGTGCTATATGTTTGTTTAATTTCTCAATTTTATTTTGTAGTTTAGAGGAACAGCTAACTTCTGTTACAATAGACTATTTTTGAAAATTTAAAGTTGTAAAGAAAGTGCAACATAATGCTAGATTTTATACAGTAGAACTGTGTCCCAGTTCTCCCCTTCCCTCAGTTGTCTGTGAAATTTGATGTATTTACTTTATACAGGACATTAGGACAATTATTTTGTTATAAAAACTGATGTAACCAATCTACAGCAATATGCTTCTGGTTACGAACCAGTTGACTGTTTTAAATCTGCTTCACACTACAACTGAAAATTACTTAAATGATACAATCACTTTAGAAGACTTTCTCAAGCCGAGTTGCATGTTGGGCAGTAGGCAAACCAGTGTGAATTTGGAGACATCTTAGCAGGCTGCTCTGCAATTCTTTCTGTGCTAGTTGAGGTTATAGATGAGCTTTCCAACAGAGTTTTGAACTTGCTTTTGCATTCCCCATGGTGTGTCTGTGCCAGTAGGTGGGGAAACACATCTTTAAGTTGCCCGAGATGGAGCAACGTGTGTCAGTAACGTATGGGCACCCATTAGCAGCTTCTCACTCTGTGGTTGTTCATACAATGTTCTATATGTGAGGGGAATTACCAAGCTTGATGTGTTTTTGAAACCATTTAGCACTCGTTTGGAGTTCCCATATCGGGAATTAGACGTGCTGTAGAACGGCAGGATTGCTGAGGCTTAATACAAATAGTGTGTGTCGGTACTCGCTGTATTATGGAAAGCATCAATAAAGGCGATTCGTGTATGTAGCACTGGTTTGGTATCTTTCCTTCTGCAGTGGTACAAGAGAACAGTCCTCTTGGAAGCTTTCATCTTCAAACCATGCAATTTAGGATAATTACTTTTAATATTCAACTGCTGTTGGCTAAAATTTGGTTAAAGTAGTAGAGCTGGAGTTCAATTTTAAATGTTTTGAGACCAGAAAAGCCATTCCACCAGGATAATACTGTAATATTTCCTTGATGTGTAATTATTTTGTACAGTTGTGAGTTCCAAAGAGTTTCTCAAGATTGGACTTCATGGACAGAGGTTAGAATTTAGCAGAACACTTTCTAAGAGTAACTGCTTTATGGTTTCATTTCAGCTGTATTTTTCTTTGCAGATGTCTTAGGGCCAGCTCATACAACCATTGGGGGGAAAGAAGCAAATTTGAAGTAGTGTGTTGGGTCATTTCAGATAGCCTCGTCTGCTGACAGAGGGCTTTGGAAGATCATGCAGGCTTGAAACGAATTTGTGAAAGCCAACTGTCTTACCAGTGCTGCCTCCTTTCAGATGGGAATTATTTTGCGATCTTTGCCTAGTGTGAGGGAAGGTGGACCTTTGACAGCGGTGAGCTCACACTCCCATGCTTGGCAAGTCGAGGATTTTAGTCTCTTAAGTCCGTTTTTCAAAGCTGGCTCTACTTCATTTTGCTGGATGCTTTTCTTCCTCTTAGTAATATTTTGTTGTATTGTTTATTAAATGCATGAGTTGGGTTTTTTTGAGCTGTGAAGGTCAATTTCTGCTTTTTTGCTCTGTTGGCTTTCAAACACAGATCAGAGTAGGAACCCCAGAATTCAAATCCAGGTTTCTTGATTTGCTGAGGCAACAGGGCAGCATTAGATTAAGGAGGGAACAGTGTGGCCACACAGAGGTTTAACGACCAGCGAGAGTGAGAGCATTCAGGTACACGTTTGACACTAACTTCAGGTGATTTCCTTACGCTATACAAATAAACCTTATTTGCAGAAAAAAGCAGAGGAAGCTCACAAGATTTTTGAAGGCCTCGGTCCAAAAGTTGAACTGGTAAGTTGTGTGTTTAGTTGGTGTCGTCTTTTTTTTTCTTTTGTTGTGTTTTCTGTGTTGGGAGTTGCTGTAACTGTTGTGGTAGAGATATATTTCTGTGTTTATGTATAGAAGAAGTTTTATGTTTATGTGTAGAAGAGTGTTTAAATGCTCTGGTGAATTTGGGCTTGGGTGAACTGATTGGCCGCGTGAGTGTAATTTTTGAAATAGATTTGAATCTACTTGAGAGAACAGTTTGAAAGATGAAAAAAATGTAATACTGTTGTTTGCATCCATTTTTTAAACAATCTAATTGTACGTAATGAAATCAGTGGTTTGTGTTGGATATCTTCTAGTCCCTTCAGATTGCCGCGTCTCAGATTGAGTGCGCTGTTGGCAAAACACTAAAATATTGTTTAAAGTATTGCATATACTTCTAGAATTCTACGCGTTACAAAGCACTAAGCCTACCTTTCTCATCCAAAATTGCAGCCGCTTTACAACCAACCATCAGACACAAAGGTCTACCATGAAAACATCAAAACGTAAGTGCTTTCCTATCTTGTCCCTGGGCCATTTAAGGGTTCTAGAGTTAAACATTAGCTCCATTTTTTCATTGCTGTAATTTCCAGATAGGATGTGTGTACTTTAACCATAATTAAAAGTTTGCAGTCCATGTAACCTTCCGTGTTGTAGAATAGTGCTGCAAGACGTGAGTTACGTGTGCTGAAGGCAAAGGGAAATTGTAACTTTGCGTCTCGACTTAAGTTTTATGATTTATTTTCATCTTTAAGTTGCTAACGCTTGTGGGTTTTTTTCCAAGTCAAAATACCAGATTTGGCCTAGATATGTCTAGTCAACTTTTCTGAATGTACTGTTCAAAGAAATGTTTCAAAAGTTACTGCTGTTAATAAACCATGGAAGGAGTCCTGATTTTTTGATATATTTTTTTAATTATCTGTTTATTTATTGACTTAACCATGTACTCATTTTCTGCCATGGGCTATGAGCAGTTACTGTATGCTATGCGTACTTGTTACGTAGGGCAAGCCAAATGCGGTGATTTGAAATAAACTGGTTGTCTACTCCTGGACAAAACGTGGATTTTGAGGAAAATAGTTTTTTGTTTCTTTTCTATTATAGTACTTGTTTCTCACATTTGAGCTATGTTTTTCAGTTCACTGAAGCAAATATTGTTTATCAATTGAAGTAAAATTGTAATCGATTAATTTTTACATGTTTTTAAAAAGTAATTATTTTTAAATATGTTAAATTCTTTAAATGGTAAGTGTTAATTCTCCTCTTAAATCTGTTGAAAAAAATAATTCTTGCTCCACTCGTTCAATTGTAGCTGTAAACCAGTTTTAAAATACTTACTTTTTTTGAGTAGTTATATATTGTAAAACTCTTAACCTTAAGGTTGAATTAAACGATTTTTTTTTTTCTGCCAAAGCATAATATATTAAGCATAACTTACTTGGGAATTTCATCATTGTTTTCCCTCTGTTTTCTACCTTTTCTACCACTGAAGGTATTTTTCAGAATGATGATCTAGCATCTAGAATCCACTCGGGCTTTGAGTAGTTTTGAAGTGCTTCTTTCTTACAGAGTTCACTTTATTGTTCCTAATTTTTTCTCCAGAAACCAGGTGATGAGGAAAAAGCTAATACTGTTCTTTAAAAGAAGAAATCACGCAAGAAAACAACGGGTAATACTACCATGTTTTTGTAAAAAGAGCACATGGTTGGTTTTTTTGTCTGGATCCTTGATTCAGATTCCCAAATGTGTCATGAAAATCCTGTTGCTTAGAAAAATAAGATCTTAAGCTAAAATTATATTGATTTATTGAGAAATAAACTGTGGGTGTATAATTGGGGTTTGTTAATTATCTGCCTGAAGACCGTCTGAAGTGCAAAAGGGAAAAAGCTTTTTTCCTTTCCTTTTCGTAAAGAGTTTGAATTGAAGAGACTTGGTGGAAATCTTTAGCTGTCATGCCTGGCCTCTCTCGGAACTTCTTTTTTTGTATAGTACCTGTATTATCTGAAAGAAAATGGGCCAGGTCTCTGATTTGTGAAGTCTGGCCGCATTTTTAACCAGTCTTGTGTACGTTGGGTAGCTATCTTGGTTGTCTTAAAGCTTTCTCTAGCGTGCTGTTGCAGCAAGTGACATACAAAATCAAAAGGCGCTTCTGGTGTCTGAAAGATTATTTTTATTAAGAATAGTGAAGGTTATACATGAAATTGGAAGATTCCACCATGAAAATGTTATGAAGGATTTTTCTCCTTACGGTCCTAGGTTGGTTTTTTGCGTAGGACCAGCTCCCTGTATATTGCTGAGGTTGAGGACATACTGCAGTTACTCCAGTCCCATTCTGTTAAATTAAAAATTAAAATAAATAACAATTAAACCTACTAATTAAAAGCCTGGTACCAGAAGGTGTGAGATTTCTGGAAGGCAGTGGTAACAGTTACCAAATACCATTGTGATGTGTAAAGCAAAGAAATAATATGGACTGTTCAAAATCTAGATTTTTTTTATATCCACTTCCTCGCCTTCTCTCTGCTGAAAATTGGGTGTATGTCATCTTCAAAGTGGGAGCCATTAGAGCAGGAAGAATCCCTGTTCATTCTGGGAGCCTACCCATGTTATGTGTACTGATCGCTTAGTGTATTCTTGTTTAGATCAAGGTTTACTTTTGCAATTTAACAGGAACAGAAAATCTGTCAACGTTATGATCAGCTGATGGAGGCATGGGAGAAAAAAGTTGACAGGATAGAAAATAATCCACGCAGGAAAGCGAAGGAGAGCAAAACAAGAGAGTACTATGAAAAACAATTTCCAGAAATCCGGAAACAAAGAGAACAGCAAGAACGATTCCAAAGGTATTGCCATGGATTTGAAATTGTCCTACAAAATACCACGTGGGACTTAGATTTTAAAATCATTTATAATAAAACTGGTTCAACTTAACCATTAAAGTTCTATGTTCATCAATTTATTCCTTTTTAAGGAATATTATTAGTGCGTCGTACAGTATAAAGTCAAAGAATTTTTTATTTGTTCAGC